AGATTTGATACGCTAAACGCTAAAGACCAGAAGAGTTGTGGGGTGACATCAAGTAGTTCATTTCAAATTACAGACTTTTGAAATGAAGAGCATTGGTACTGATATAGAAAGCTTTAGCACATAGTACTTTTTAAAGCATTTTTAAAACCTAACCAAATCCAGTGTTTTTAGTTGATTCCGACTCATAGAAACCCTATAGAACAGAGTAGAATTGTCTCCAGAGAATTTCTGAATTTGTAAATCTTTATGGAAACAGGTTGCCTTATCCTTCTTCTTTGTCGTAGCTGGTGGGTTTGAACTGCTAACATTTCGATTAGCAGCCAAGCACTTAATCATTGCATTACCACAGTCCTTCTAAATCAGGTATAGGGAATGTCCAGCCAAAATCATTTAGCCCTGCCAAGGCAACCACAGTTCCTGCCATCACATTGGGGGGTTTCGACTAGTAGCAACCCTGCATAGGGTATCCAAGGCTGTAAATCTTTATGGAAGCAGAAAGCCTCATCTTTCTCCCATGGAACCACTGGTGGTTTCGAACTACTGACCCTGAGATTAGCAGACTGACACATAACCACTACCAGAGCTCCTTAGCCATCACATTGTTGTTGTTGTTATTAAGTGCTGTTGAGTCGATTCCGACCCATAGCGACCCTGTATGGGGTTTCTAAGGAACAGCTGGTGAGCTTGAACCACCAACCTTGCAGTTCAAATGACTTTGCAGTCTGACACATTAGCCCACAGCGCCACTCCAGGACTCCATAGCCATCACATTATTGCTGTTGTTATGGGTCGTGGAGTCCGTTCCGACTCATAGCAACCCTGTACAGGGTTTCCGAGGCTGTAAATCTTTACGGGAGCAGAAAGCCATCACATTAGAGGTGAGTTCATTAAAGTTTGACCAAATGTAGCAGGCTAATTTTAAAGCTGATAAATTTGTATAGCCCATGAATGATGTTATAAATTTTGGCAGAAAAAAGCTTCCCCACCCCTGCACTAAAGCTTATTTTGCTCTCCCAAATTCAGGTATTATTGCTTTTCTTCCTTTAACAGCATTGTATCTTTTTATATATATATATAAAAGAAGCTTTAGCCCTTAAATTCAGTTCTGCCATTAGCTATATAAACGACCCTTTAAGGACAGTGTTTGAGCATTACTGAATACAGTCCTGGTGAGGTTCTGTAGGATAAACACTGGACCGGAAGGTCGGTGATTCAAATTCTCCAGCCACTCCTTGGAAACCCTATACAGAGTTGCTATGAGTCAGAACCGACTCTATGGCACTAAACAACAAGACCAAATAAAGCTGGAGGGCTTCAGTCTTTTGTTCTTAACAGTACTGTCCACCAAAATGTTCAGCTCAGAGTCCTTGCTCTCACGAAACAAAAATATTTTCAGCTATGTATATGAATATAAAAATATCTATTTGGAAGAATGTAAATTTCATCTCTGTGGTTGAAAAAAGGTTTCATTCCATGGATGTAGTGGTTGCAAAGAAGGTTGATGCTCTATCATGCTTGACATCCTAGGGAACTGTGGAGAGCCCCCTACTGTGTGAGTTTGACTTTGTTTCAGTGACAGTTGGTCACTGCTAATTCACACACTTATAAAAGGTCGCTATGAGTCGACACGGACTCAATGGCACCTAACAACTACAACAAAAGCAAGGTTTGCAGTGTGGTCTTATCTTCGTAAGGTACACTGACAAACAGGCATCCTCTCCCACTCTTGCTGCCTCGTGGCTCCACAATGTGATGGCAGGAGCAAAATAAGCAGTAGCCTTGGGAACCAGTCCTGGATTCAGTCCAAATTCAGGCCCATTCCAGACAGAACAGAGTGAGATCAATTTTGAGAGTTAGCTTTTTTTAATAAGATCTATGTGATGTCCCTTAATTAAGCATGCTTCTCTCAAGACAAAGCTAATAGACTTTGTGAAAAATCAATATCCTGAAACTTAGGCACTGCCAGCTTTATGGAAACTGAAGCTACTCAGAAGAAGTCTTTGGTAGTAAAAAAGCAGATCTTGAGAAAGATGAAATGAGGTGATGGAGAGGAGCCAAGGGCCAGTACAATGGCCAGCAGACAAAAGCATACTAATGGAGGATATGATCTAGAAAGGACTGGCACCTTGTGTGATGAAATAAGGCCCAGGGAAGCAGTGTATCACTCAGGATGGAAGGGAAGAGGAGCAAGTAGGATGAGAGACAGGGAGGATTTAGAAAAGGACTTTAAGCAGCGCAACCACGTGTGCTACAGAAATGGGAGCGCTGATGACAGTGAAGTCACGGTGGTATTGTCCAGATTATCCCCAAGGGAGTACAAAACTGCCACGCCTCCAAGACAGCAATGATATAAAATCAATCAATCCCCTTTGTTACCATCATAACATAATAATGCACATCATAACATAATTATGACTATATCCCTGTCATAATTTTGTTATGATGTACATTTTTAAAAGCTTTCCAAAAATTACTCAAACAAAAAATATAAAACCTAGTTTTTAACCCTTGGTCAACTAGGGAAATTCTCTTGAGTTCAAAATGGCGTGTTCTGTGATGTTGTTAAATAACTGAGGGGTGTTGTCAGGACATCTGCTGAGTCCACTGCTTTTATAGGTGTTTTCCTGATTTCAGTCTGATTTAAGGTTGATTTCAAAATGCAGGTATTTTATTACAAATAAGGCTAGTTAACTACAAAGGTGTGTGGAGTTGAATTCAGTAGGGCATTTAGAGAACATAATTGCCAACCGGGGACACACATATAGCCAGTGACATTGTCCAGATACCGCATCCTGTGCTGCAAGATTTTGCTTGAAAATCCAGGATGCTGGGTGAAGAAGACCCTGGCCTCAGGGGAACGTGTCTGATAGAGGCAGTGGTAGAAGAGACCTGACATAGGGTGTTTGTCCAAGGCTTCCTAAGTTCCCATGCTGCACTGGGCCCAGGATGCCTGAGTTTTGACCACACTAAGTTTAACCACCTGTGAGCCTATATCCCTGTAGTTGAGGAGCGTGTGGGACTGAAAAGCAAAGCAAATGCGCCTTTTCAAAGCTGGTTTACCTTTGATTTGAGACATTATTTCCTTTGGTGTTTTTCCTCTTCTCCCAAGTCTTTCATTAGGGGGAAAATAGCTTTTGTTTGCCTCTGTTTGTCTTTCATTCGACACCTCGGTTTATTATAACGTGTCACCCTCTATTAGAGCACATCCTCTTCATTGCATTTGTAACCTAGAGCCTGAAAGCAACCAATCTGTGTAGGAAATGGTGATAAGGAAATAAAGACTTACTTGTTTTGCAATCTCCAATACCAAGTGTTTCTTCTCCCCTACCAGAGATTTGAGGTGCAGGAGGTGGAGGTGGAAGTATACAAAGATTTTTTTTTTCTTCTTTCCTTTTGTATTTTATACAGTTTATGTTATTCTTTCTTTTTTTCTTTTTGAAGAGGATATATTTTTTGAGTGAACTGTCTAATTAAGTTACTAAATAGTATTTGGCCATTTTATCTTTCATTTTGAATGGTACTCCTTCCTCCCACCCCTAATTCAAGGAGGCGTCAAAAATTCATAGATCAATAGAATTAAAAGATAATGGATTAGACACAAAGAGGGAGAGGGTCTGTATGCTGACGACTGGAGGCGGGGAGGGGGCAGGCTTGCAGGGTATACCCTTCCATTGGTTGATGATGCATGGAGGGGATTGTAACCATGGCAGTGCAACGATATATGATAGGATGAAAGTGAAACTAATGTTTCCCCATGTAAACTATCACATAATTCACAATAAAACATTAAAAAAAAATTTTTAAGATAATGGAATTTTTCCATGGATTTTCTGAAGCCCCCTCATACAAGCAGTGATAACAGATAAGTAAATCACTTTTGTTCTATTAACTTACAAATTTTAAGCCTAAGGTAATTTTAGGTCTAAGTGATCTTATTAAAGTACTCACCAGATTCTGTTGTTTCATGAATTGTACAGGCATTGGTCAATTGGGACCCAGTGGATCAAACCGTGCTTGCCAACGAGCAGGTGGATGAACATGGATGTTCGTGGCGTTCTGGAGCAAAGGTGGAACAGAAGTACCTCAGACAGTGGTTTATTAAGACTACCGCTTATGCAAAAGTAAGTGCCAACCCGGAGCCTCGCCATAATGCCTGACACATTGGTGGCAACATTCAGGTCATCTGGTATTAGAGAGTCTCCCTGTTAAGAGTTAATTCTAGAAAGGGCTCTCAGAACTGTGGGTGTGCAGACAGGAAACAGCCAAGTTGTGTATCTCTGCGTTCTCATTCAAGAATAGCACCTGGAGATCATTGAAGGCTGATGTTTGCTGATCTCTCAACTCACTGAGTCATCTTACTTCCACAGAGATCAAAAAAGCCTTCAGCTGTATCCATAATTATATCAACAATGAAGCTAAAAATTTATCTGTGTTGCAGTCACACCTCAAGAAAGACCTCAGGAAAGATAGAATGAAATCCCTGAGGGCCCAGAGAAGACCATTTTAAAAAAGTAAAGAGATGGCTGGTCTCCAAGAGGGAAGATCAGAGTGAAAATTAATCCAGTCAGGAATGAAAGCGCTGAGTTTTATTCTTGTAGTGTCCCTGATCGATAGTGTAAACTGGTGTGTCTCCGGGCCTCAGTTTCCTCATCTATCCTCAAAAGTGAGGGTAGACCAACTGATCTTTAAGGTGCCTTCTTGGGTTTTTATGTGTTCAGGAATTCAGTGCAAAGTCAACAATTGAAAGAGGGGACTTGATTATTAAATTTCCAATAGCTTGGGCAATCGTTATGCTGCCATCAGTACAGAAATTAAGGGGTCACCCCGTGAAACTCCAGAGAAGATGGTTAGAGCAAGTTAGGGGGAAAGTTGATGATTTCTATATCGCATTAGCGTAAGATATAAACAGCATCTGAAAATGTAAAGGTGTCATACTTAGGGACTGCATTGCTTCCCCAGTGGTAGTCACTATAAAAAGGATAATTGTGCCCTTCCATGGTATCCCATGGGTTGTTTTGTAAGAGACAATGCTAGATTGAAATGGACTTTGGGTCAGACCTAACACTCTAGGTCTTATATACAAAGACAACACAAAGCTGTAAGTAACCTTTGATCAGTACAAAACTTTCCTGAATTAGAATTCTCTTTTAAGAGCAGTAGAGTAACTTACAATACCAACGCCTTCTGGAAATATGACTTCTAGCTTTTTTTACTCAAAAGACATAGCTTAAGTGAGTCTATTTTGCCTTTACAATTTAGTCAGAATGTAGGAGACAGTAGAATATGGATTTGAAGAAGCTCTTGTTGGAACTTTCTAACGCAGGGCCTTGCTCCTTTCACACAGTACTACTGGAAGACCTGGTGAGAAAAACAAAGCTGAGGATACTGCTTTCTGTATCATCCTAGGCAGAGGGAGCCTGTGTTTGCCAACAGTGTGGCCACTGCATTATTGGGGGGGGGATGTCAGGTCACTTCAAGGACCTACCAGATGATTCTCTATAATAGCCTTGTTGGGAAGGTCTCCTAATTAGCTCTTTTGTTTTGACCTCTGCCTCTAGTTGAAATTATAATAACCTAACTGAGGGGCATTATTCAGTTGTCAGCTATGCATTTTCAGCTGTTGAACAGATATTGTTAGTTGCCATGGTGACTTGCCTAGCTCTTGCCGAACTCCTGTGCAGATTTATTTTAAAAGCTGTCTTTGGAGGTCAGTACTTGGTTTACCCTGAAAAGCAGGAGAAGAAGGAGTGGTGTGGGTGTGGTCTGGTGGACAGAAGTCTGTTTTCTCTCCAGGCGTGTGGATGAGGGCAGGGCTGTTGAAGGCTCCAGGAGTGTTGGTAGAAAATGACTGCTGCAGAACCAAGAGCAGAGAGAGATTCCAAAGGGAGGAGGGAGAGGAGACTTCAGAAGGATAGCCCAGCCCAAAGGGCCAGCCATTAGGGATAAGGGACAAAGCTCTTGACCTTTAAAGGGAGACTAAGTAATCCATACTCCCTAAAAACTTTCATCTACAATGTCCAGTTTAACACTTGAAAATGACAGATTTGCAAAGAAGCAGACAAAAATGTGACCCATATTCAAGGGGAGAAAAAAAAAAATAAGTTCAAAAGAAATAGACCTTGATATGACCCAAATGTTGAGACTAGCAGATAAGGCCTTTAAAGCACCTATTACATAAATATTATAAGACTCCTGGTATAACACTGTAGGATAAGCACTAGACTGCAAACCACAACGCTGGCAGTTAAAACCCACCAGCTGCTCCTCAGAAACCCTATGTAGGTCTCCATGGGTTGGAACTGAATCAATGGCACTTAATGCAACAACAATATAAATATTTGGGATTTAAGGAATAAGATGGTTGCAATGAGTGAACACATGGGGAATCCCAAGAGAGAAATGGAAATTGTATATATATAAACATAACCAAGTGGAAATCTAAAACAGAAAAGTATAGTACCAGAAATGACATTTTTACTATTTGGGCTGCAGATAGGGATGATAGAAGATTGTTGTTGTGGTTAAGTGCCATTGAGTCAGTTCTGACTCATAGTGAGTCTGTATAGGGTTTCCGAGGAGTGGCTGCTAGGTTTGAATTGATGACTTGTAGTTAGTAGTCCATTGCTTATCCTACAGCATCACATCAGAACCCCAAGATAGGTAGGTTATAAAGCTGAAGGGAAGTCTTCATGGAACATGTATGGTGGCCCTATCACAAATGTATGTAAGGGATTTGAGAAATAGTAAGAATTGCACTTTAGCTGGAACTGAGAGAGCCAAGAAGAGAGGCATGAGCTAGGACTGGAGAGGTGATTAGGGGCCAGATCAGACAAGACCTTGTAGGTGTTAAGGAATTTGGACATTCTCATGGGGGCCATCAAAAACCATTAGGAGTCTAAGATAGGATAAGATTACCATGGACAGGGCAAGTATGGATGCAAAAAGACCAGCTAACAAGAATATTGCAATGGTCCAGGCATATTAGCATGACTTAACATGGACTTAGGTGGAGGTCGTAGATATGAAAAATATTCAGATGGCAAAATCTACAGAGCATGGTGATGCAAAACAAGGAAAGGTAGGAGATGCTGGCATCAAGGAATACTTTGCCTTGAACAGTATGTAGATCATTCAGCCATTGTCTAACCTTAACTTTCAGAGAGCCCTGAGAGAGATACAGTCCTGACTGACCCTTTGAATTTTAGGACCATGAGACATTTGAATAGAGATGTACAAATAGGTGTTTGGGTTGTTGTTGTTGTTAAGTGCTGTCGAGTCGATTCTGACCCATAGCAACCCTGTATAGGGTTTCCAAGGAGCAGCTGGTGAGCTTGAACCACCCACCTTGCAGTTCAAACGGCTTTGCAGTCTGGTGCATTAACCCACAGTGCCACCCCAGGACTCCAGGTGCTTGGGTAAATGGGTCCAAAACTTCAAAGAAGGTCATATGTCTTTGAGAGAAGATCAAATGTCTGCTTAAAAACCAAATATAGAGGGAGCAGCTGAGGACTCTGGGCTCATGGAAAGAGAGGGACTGAGAGTTGGCGGCCAGGAAGCAGGCTTGCAGAATGTGCCCTTTGATTGTTTAAATTATTATATATTCCAGAGTGTTTCTGTGTACATCCCCCCAACAAACCAGGGAATGGAAGCAAATACTGTTGAATTATGATGCATGGAGAGATAATCATTGCAATGAAACAGTGGTGCAAAGCCAGTGTTCTCCCATGTAAACTATCACTCAGTTCACAATAAAAACTTACCAAAAAAAAACTAAGTGTAGTAGAAATTTTCTTAAATTAGTTGTTGTTGTGAAGTGCCGTCGAGTCGGTTCCAACCCATAGCGACCCTGTATAGGGTTTCCGAGGAGCAGCTGGTTAGCTTGAACTGCCGCTGGCTTTGCAGTCTGGCGCATTAACCCACAGCGCCACACCAGGACTCCTCTTAAATTAGTGGTGGTGGTGGTCATGTGCCGTGGAATCGGTTCCGACTCATAGCGACCCTGTACAGCGACCCTGTATAGGGTTTCTGAAGCTGTAAATCTTTGCAGGAGCAGAAAGCCTCATCGTTCTCCCATGGAACAGCTGCTAGTTTCGAACTGCTGACCTTGCGGTTCGCAGCCCGATTAGTAACCACTACGCTACCAGAGCTCCTTCTTAAATTAGTAGAGACGTATAAATAAGAAATAGCTATTGAGTGAGTCAGTTAGTAATGCTTTCAGCTGCAAGTAATTGAAAATCCAAGTTATGGCTGCTTAAAGGAATGGAAAATTACTTTTTTGTTATAAGAACTCCCATTTGCTGGAACTGAAGAATCGTAGGGCTCTGAGTTAGTATCTCGGTGATTCTCCTGGCCTTTCCTTCCATCTGTTACCTCATGGCAAGATGATAGCTGAAGCTCCAAATAGCACATCTCCACTCAGGACGGGAGACAGAAGGGCAGTGCCAGTGACTGTGCCTTTTATCTGGAAAGCAAGAGCTTTCGTAGAAACCCCAGCAGATGTCCTGTTTGTCCCAGTTGTGTCAGGCCGCTCTCAGGTTCCAGGCAGACTAAGAAAGCAGGCTTGTTTCTTTTTTTAGCTTCTGTGATTGAGGTGGACAGGGGTAAGGAAATGGGGAATGGGATGACCAGTAAGCTGTGCTTGCCATGGTTCTCTTCAAAGCTTTAGATTTGCATCTGGTTTTGCAATGGAGGGCTACCTCTGTGATGTACAGCTGGTGGTCTGCTTGGAAACGTGTCTTTGTGGAGGAGCTCTCATTTCATTCACTTAACTTCCAAATTTTAAAGACAGGTGTCTGATGTGAAGATTACAGGGAGCCCTGAAATATAAAAGTGCTTTATGAGGCTGTTCTGTGATGTCTTTGATTTGACTTCCCCCTTTACCCCCCACCCAGTCTTCCTAGGATTGTTTGCTTTGTGAAACGTTAAAAGTGATTTCAGCCACTCTGTCTGTGAAAAAGAAAAACTTGCTGTAGGAGTATCTGAAGAACATGAATTAGTCTTGGCAGAGATGTGTGGGAGGTATCTTGTGGGCAGTGCTGCTGAGGTGAGAGAAGGGGAGGGGGCTGGGTTTGAGAGTGACACAGGGGAAGTAAAAGGGATTCAGAGTTTAACGGACCCCTCA